TTTGAGAATAATAATAATAATAATAATAATAATATCATTTGTTAGCTTTGCAAATGCAGCTAATGAGGAATTCTATAAATAAAAAAATTAAATTCAATTGATTTAACGATTAACTTTGTAATGTAATTAAACTACTTATTAAAGCTCTAGATTTTTGGTTTCAATTAAAAATAAGGATTCATTTAATTAAATTTAAATTACCATGGTATTCTGACCGCGCTTTAGTAGATTAAAAATCGGAACTGGAGGTATGGTGTCAGTCACCCCATATTTTCGAAAGTATTTTTCATCAATTTGAGAGCCAATTCTTCGGTCTTGTATTTTTATTTTTGGTTTTTACTTTATAGTAATTACTGATTAATGCCGGATTTAAGTGAAGATGGAGTGACTATTCGCACTTTATGTATAGCTGGTAAGATAGTTTTTCATGTATAGTTCGAATGGTCAAGCTATCTTCTGAGTAGATTAAAGATTCTTCTCCAGCTCATTCTGTCTAATGAGCCCCAAATAGAGCGAAACTGGTCGTTGAATGTTAGCCCTTTACATGCCAAATCAAAGGGTTTGTTGTATCGAGAGACTCACTCTCGAACACCTTTTATAACACTGTCATTCAATGTCCAGTTGAGCATATAGCCCTGGAAGTAATTATTTGTGTTATAAGGCGACCGGACAATATGCCGACTAAAAATCAGGACTGGAAGTATGGTGGTGTCAATTACCCTGTATTTTAGGATAAATATAATAGCTGTTTATGAAACCAGTTACGAAATGCCTTATTTTATGTAACGAGTGAATATTTGCGGGACGAGCAAAGCGAGCTACATAAAACAGCATTTCGTAACGTGTTACATAAAATATTTTTTCTAATTTTGACTAGATTATTTATAAAATTGTGTTTTGGTAACCAATATTACTATTTTCTTGTATTAATAATTGATTTTATTTATTTTTTTATTGACAAATAGAAAATCATACTTATTCTCAACGACTTATTGTACTGTGTTAATTTTGTTTGTTAAAGTTATTTGAATTTTAAGAAAGTGGGTTATTCTGTCGTGTCTTGTGTTTTAATTATTTTGTGCTGATTTAGAATGAAAAAAAGGACTGAAACAACATTATTACTAGGTTGTAAGTTTAACCAAATTCTATTTTCATAAGTCAACCTGTGCCTTTCTTTGATATTAACTTTCAATAATAATGTATTGTTAGAAGTTAAAGGAATTAACTTCAAAATTATTGTTTTTAAATTATTTATCACGCGTTAACATGGTTTTAAAATGTTTTATTAAATATCTAGTAAACAAAGTTTGACATGTAATTAATTAAGGAACAAAATAAAGAATAATGCCTATCACTTCATTGCGTTCGGATGGTCGAAATTCAAGTAGTGTTCTCTCTTGGATAACTGCAACGAGCGAGATGTGGTACCGTCGACCCCCAGGGGCGGCGGTATCCTAATTCGCTGACTCTAACAGTATATTATTGATTTTAAAATCAGAAAAGATTTATTTTTATTTGTTTTCTTTTCGCATCTAGTGACATAATGAATTTTTCGAAACCAGTTTCATAATTTTCAACATTATGTAACTGGTTGCGTAAAGTAGATTATTTTGACACTGTCATTACAAAAAAATGTCACTTTATGTCAAAATTAGAAAAATTATTTTTTTTTTCGAAGAATTATCACTTGAATAAAAATTTGGTTCAAAATACTGTTTCATTAATTTTCATCTCAAAATCCAATAGCAAGTAGCAAATTAGATATCGAAGGTAAAGGAGCAAAATGTTCTATCTAAAATTTAACTTTAAAGGAGAAACAATAACTGTTCATTTTGAGATATTGGACAAACCTTTCAGAAAAATAAAAACACGTCAGCGTTTATTTGTCATTTATTTTTAATAAAAAATAGATTTCAAGCAAAATATTATTCTATATTATATTATTATGTTTAAGAGACAGGACAAAGTGAAACTGATACTTCTATCATATAGGGCATCATAATACAACAAAAAATATAATTAAATTTTATTTCTCAATATTGTAATAATTTAAACACATAGGACTTTTACTAAATGAAATCGGTTACCTAGGACAATTTACTTGTACTTCAGATAATTTTGCAGGCAGTATAAATTGAAATAATAATAGAGTAAGGTGTTGCCGCTTTTACTCAAGAAACTGTATTTTATTTTGAACATTCATGAAAACTCATTTTCACCTTAGATAGTAATACAAGAATAATAGTTTGTGCAACAAGAATCGATATGGATAATCCACTCGAGTTGTACAGTATAATTTTTCTACTACCCACTAACGAAAATCTACAAATTTAAAAAATTGTAAGACAAAATAATTAATATTAAAATAATTTATGAATTTTACTAATTTATAAAATAAAATATGTTATGTTGAGAATGGGGTGTTAATACACTGCGACCTAAAAGATCTATTGTGCCCCCTTCTGTCGCCACTGCACTAAGGAAATGTTTCAATGCCTATAGCGACCCTTCCAATCCTATTTTCTCAAGGAAGTGGAGGATTTGAAGTGGCTTCAAGTTAGGTATATCTCCCTCTTCTATTTGATATCCTCCTAGATATAGCGTCCTTGGATTCTGGAGTGCTATACATTCAGTTAGGATGTGAATAGAGGTTTCGTCCTCCTCCTCACAGAATCTGCACTCACTATCCTCTACTACTCTCAGTTTACTTAGGTGTCCTTTTAGTCGGCAATGCCCGGTAAGGATTCCTGTTATAATACGTAGCCTGTTCTTGCTCAGGCAGATGCAGGCTTCCGATCTTTTCTGGTTATATTCACCCAGAAGTATCTTGGCCTGTCTCAGCCCCAAGAGATTGTTCCAATTATCGGTTCTTCTACTACCCAATTCTTTTTTAATCTCTCCTAATATTATGTTACTGCTGATACCGCAGAACGGCTCAGGTCCTACAAAGGGTATTTGAGCCCCTTTCCTTGCAAGACTATCTGCAATCTCGTTACCCTGTACCCTGTTATGTCCCGGGACCCAAGTGAGAGTAACTCTATTTTTCTCGCCTAGCTCATTCAATTGTTCTAGGTATCTCCAGACCATTTTTGAGCTGATTACGTAAGAACTCAGCGCTTTAATGGCTGCTTGACTATCGGACATGATGATAATCTCTTGTCTATGATAGTTTCTCTCGATGTTAAACTGGATACACTTCCCTGGAAGATGCTTGGGTATTTTCCCAAGCTTTCGGAGTGCTTGGTTCTCGGCCCATACACTCCTATTCCAGTTCCTTCTATGGTTTTGGAACCGTCCGTATAGCACTGAATAGCACGTCTTTCGGTTGCAAGCGCGATGAATTCTTGGCTCCATTCTTTCTTGCAGCCCAGCTCTGTGGTTTTGAAGTTTTTCACAAAACTGTACTTCTTTTGCATTTCATCCTGGGGCATGTCCCAGGTATCTTTAGTCCTGAAGCAAGTAGACTTTCGTCTGATTACTCCGTTCCTGATCATTCTCTCACCTCAAAATAAAACATAAAACAAGATTTAATTTCATTAGTCCCCAGCCAAGATTTGAACCCGGGCTTTTCGCGTGGAAGGCAGACGCTCTGTCCTCACCTCCATCGCCAGATTTAGGATTTTATTACTCGTAATTAAATGAGTTTCATAGTTTTTTTTTTTAAATCAGGACCAAATAAAAATTAAATTGCTATTATTTGTCAATTCTACACAAAAATAACTCATTTTAATGTATATTTAATCTTAATAACTAAAAAATATACTGATAATTAGTTTGACAGAATTGTCACTTATTTAAAATGTTAAAAATAATAGTAGTTGGGTATCCAAAATACGAACTGTGATTGGTGGATTTCATTTTTTGCAGTGTTCTCACTACCTATAATGGATATGAAATATTATATTAGTTCAGTTGAACGCAATAGCATACTTTTTCGTTTTGTAGTCTGTGCGTAGATTAGTTAATATCCATAGAAAAATATTATATCCTCAATAAATATAAATTAGAGAAAATGTTTAAAACATAATCTGGAAATAAAGGTTAATCAATAAGTGTTAAGACACTAGTTTTGACATAAAAATAACATGGTAAAATACAGAACTATTAAAATACTTAAATACTAAGAGAAAAAATACATATCCGTATGAAAAAAATTAATGCACTCGAGGGAAAAATAGAAAACAATAAAAAAATATAAGTAAAATACAAGTAAAAATAAAAGTAAAAATATAAGTAACAATATAAGTAAAATTATAAGGAAAATTATAAGGAAAAATATAAGTAAAAATATAAGTAAATACGAGTAAAAATATAAGTGAAAATATAAGTTCAAATATAGGTAAAAATATAAATAAAAATATAAGTGAAAATATGAGTAAAAATATGAGTAAAAATATGAGTAAAAATATGAGTAAAAATATGAGTAAAAATATGAGTAAAAATATGAGTAAAAATATGAGTAAAAATATGAGTAAAAATATGAGTAAAAATATGAGTAAAAATATGAGTAAAAATATGAGTAAAAATATAAGTGAAAATATAAGTAAAATAGGTATACCTGTAATAAATAAACACGTAAGATGATATAAAATATTTTTTAATAATAAAAAAAGAAAAATAAATTACTTTATTTGAAATGCATCAATTTTATTTTGATCAGTTGCCAATATTTTTTAATTGTTTTAAATCATTTAGAAAACTATTATAAACAATGACGAACAACTACTAGACTAATTTTGTTTGCAAAAATGGAATTGCAAACATTCACGGTATTATCCACGTAGTTGTCAAATTATTATGAAGGAGAGAAAGTCATGTTGCAAGGATTGTTTATGGACAGTGGCGGTCCCAAGGGGGGGGGGGGGGGGGCTTTGGCGGCTTAAGCCCCCCCCCCCCATGAGCCCGGTAAAAACGCCTAAAAAGAGCAGTTAACAATTTGTGTAAGATATGTGGATACGCAGTCTTTCGTGATTCGTGAGGAATTCCTTGGTTTTATGGAAATGAAGTCAACCACAGCTGAAGCTATCACGGACACATTATTTCAGGAACTAACAAACATGGGGCTGAGCCTGGAAAAACTTCGAGGTCAAGGTTATGATGGGACTGCGAATATGTCTGGAGCTTTTAAAGGTAAGCTTAAAATAAAAAAAAAAGATAATGATTGATTATTATATAATATTTTTTAGGCGTTCAAGCACTGATCCGAAAAGAGCAACCGTTGGCCTTATACAGATACACACATTGTTTCAAGCATTCCCTTAATTTAGCTGTTTGCAAATCATGCGATTTAAGCGCAATAAACATTTCTATGGGAATTGTAGGAAGTGTTTCTACATTTTTAAGTGGTTCTGCAAAACGCGTTAATATGTTGAATGAAATAATCGACGAACAAGAAGCAATCTCAGAAACTAATAGAAGAAAACTAAAACCACTCTGTGCAACACATTGAGTTGAAAGGCAACATACATTAATTACTTTTAAACAATTATTACCTGTTATTGTCATAGCCCTACAACAATTAGAAAACGACAAAGACACTGAAACTTCACGAAATGCAATGTGCTATAGTTCTTACATAAAAAGAAGCGATTTTCTGGTTTCCCTGTGGGTTAATGCTTATTTGTTTGAATATTCAGTCACCTTAAGCACTGTCCTTCAAAGTAGGAATTTGGATATTTCAGCAGCTATGGAGAATGTTAAAACTCTAATAAGCACATTTAAGGACTTACGATCTAAATCCGAAGAAATATTCAACAAAATATTTTATGACCTCGAAAACTTTTCAGAACGTCTTGGGATAGAAATTAAAATTCCTAGGTAAAATAATGTCATATATTGCCAATAAGTAAATCACATTCATTATTAATTTATTTTCAGATTATGTGGAAAACAAACTCAAAGAAGTAATGTGGAAACATCCACTATGAATGAATATTTTGGTAGGTCTATATTTATTCCATTTCTGGACCATTTAATAGAAGAGCTACAATCAAGGTTTTGCGATAGATTGGCAGAAGTTATTCCATTAGAAGGATTAATTGCTGCAAAATTTTCAAAATATCATGTAGACGAAATTGTTAAAGCAGCTATGTTCTATGAATCCGACATAAACGTTAGTGAGAATCAGCTTAGGGCTGAAATAATGATGTGGCATAGAAGATGGAAAGACGAAACAACTATTATTCGTCCTTGTACAGCAGTGGAAGCATTAATGTACTGCACCGATTTTTTTCCGCTAATCAGGATCCTTTTAATCATCTTTGCCACACTTCCTGTCACAACTGCAACACCTGAGAGGAGTTTCTCAACAAGCAAACGCCTTAAAACGTATCTACGTTCAACTATGTTGCAGGAAAGATTTAGTGGCTTGGCATTGTTGAATGTTCATAAAGAAATTGACATTGATCATGACAAAATCATTAATAAATTTGTGTTGATGAAGCCAAGGCGTATGCAGCTAAAAGACTGGTCAGCAACTGACTAATAGAGCAAAATATTAATATTTTTAGGAGGCACTCATTACTTCATTATTATAGTCTTTGTTAAACTTGTTCCAAGTTATTAATAAAAATATATATTTGCTATTCTTTTATTTCTACAAATAAAAAACTTAGCCCCCCCCTTGGCAAATTCTGGGACCGCCACTGTTTATGGATATAATTCGGAATTAACTAAAACAGACAAAATGCTTTCAAGGAAGTACATTTGCATTCTTAATGTCGGTTATTATCAGTTTAATGTATTTTTCTAGTTGAAACTATCATAGTTGAAGTAAATTTCCAGAAAAATAAGCAATTTATTTTGAAGTGTGATATTATTGTAAAGCAAGAGTCGTATCCGTAATTACTGATTCATCCAACTTAAATTAGCAGCTATCTCGTGTTTTCTAATGCGGCAGCCGATGTGACAGCTCTGTCTGCCTGATATAAAACACAATCCGAATGCTTGCTATAATTAATAAGGGCTTAGTTATGAACTCAACTATCTCGATGGTTATGAATGAATGGATTAGTCTAGTAGTTTTTCGGCGTTGATTATGTTTTTTGCACTATAGGAGTAGGATTTTTGTGAAATAGATTTTTTTATTAGGGGTAAAACAGTATTCATTTTTTGTCTGTATTATGCTAGTGTTGAAGAAATTCTTTATTTCGGAAGGGTAAAATGTAGTATTTGTCCAATAATAAGATATCTGTCTTAAGTCCATGATTTGGCATTCTTTGTAGAGAAGATCAGACAGGCAAATATATTCTTTAAAAAATTAAATTTTGTTTTTTGGTGTATCTCCAGCTAATTTATATGAATTCGTATAGTTCTAGTGAGAGATAAATATTTCATCATATTTTGTGTATTTAACTGTTTAAATTTGTATTGTTTGCAATTTTTTAATTATAAAATTAATATGGATATTTCATTTATATCTATAAAAATTCATAAATATTTTATCTACGATACGGAATTAATTTTGTTATTGGAGATGATATAAAGATGTTAAAAGGACGAATTGTAGGACGAATTGCCAACTAAGTTGCAGGTCAAGGACAAAAAGTCTGTTTGGTCCATATTAATAGTTAAGAGCCTGTGGTCAAACTGAAATCGGGGATTCAAAGAAAATTGCTGTTATCATCAGTGTAGCTTATGATATTGCCCAATTTTTTTTAGGGAAAATATATTGTTTCCATATAAATTAAAAAATACAGGTCCCAATGCGATGCCTTGAGGAACTCCATAAACTATTTTTCTTTAATTTCCAATTTGTTAATTTAAGTTCGTTCTGGAAATTATTTTTTTTTATTGGTACCCTATTTTACTTATTTAGGGTACGCCTCAGCGTGTTTAAAACGAACTTTAAAAAACACGCGTTTTAAAGTTACCATGGCAACATCCCGATAAACGTGATGTCTAAATGCCAACTTTTTAAATATTGATCTGACAGGAGTGCCTTGTAATGTCAAATAAAATATTTCTGAGAAATTTTTCAAAAAATTTATTCAAATATTTTTTCACATTCTTAATTGTTTAAATGAATGTGGAAAGTACAGTTAGTATTGTTTGAAATATTAAAACTTCGGTTTTTTAAATCAGAGGAAATACTGTTCAAATTAAGATTGCTAACATTCTTGGAAGTCAATGAAGTTATACTTCCATTAATAGAACTTCCAATAATATTTGAAACGTTCTTCTTATTGCTAATGCTCTCTTCAACGTAACCAGTCGCCACAGCTGCCGATTTCCATCCTAATTGTCGTTGGATTTTATCTATTGTCATGCCATTATTCGCCATAATGGTAGCGGACGTACGTCGAAATGCATGTCCAGTATATTTCTCAGGATCGTCCAATTTAAGATAACGTGCAATTTGCTGGGGACATGATCCAAATGTATTAATACCAACCAGTTGATTGGTGCACTTCCCCTTATCATACTGTAAGAAAACTCGGTCTGTACTTACATTTTGGGGGCGCAATGATGAATACTGCTTCACCAAACGCACATATCTAATTGCATCACTATCAGCAACAGTAAAACGTCGAGACTTCACTGTCTTAGATGGTCGGATAGTAATAAGCAATACGCTTCCTTCTTCCTTGATATCAGCTAAGCGTAAATCGCACAATTCAAATCTTCTACAAGAGCCAAAGATGCCATAAATAGCAACCACCTTCAAAAATAAATACGTAATGACTACCTCATTTTTGCTAATTGCCTTCATGAATGTATGCACTTTGACGAACGATTTTATATCGACCCCTTTGTTTATCCTCAACATACTTGTAATTTTGAATGGATAGTCCACATAGTCGATACTTTATACTGTTCCGACATTTTCTGGAGATAAGCGAGAACAACTCGTTCATCTATATGTGTAAGCATTTGCTCTTCCATCCACGTGTTGAATTTATCGTATTATTTTTTATAAACCGCTTCGGTTTTTTGTGGTATTAAGCGCGATTCTGCTTTATTATTTAAATACTCAATATTTGAACTCATTTTTAAACAATAACAACTGTTGCGACAATTAATCTTACGTGACAGATTGAAAATAAATTTTTGTTTGTCTCATTTTCATGACAACGAGGTATACTGATGTTACATCATAAATTCAACCATTTTTAGTTATTAGTTCTTATTTCCATTTTTTTGTAGAAATAATACCAATATTTAGGATTTCAAAGTATACCAATAGAAAAAAAATAGCGTAAAGTATTCGTGGATAACTGGTCTTTAAAACACTTGCTCTATTTCGAGCACTCCGGCTGTGCCGTCGTGCTCGAAAAATCGGGCGTGTTTTAAAGACCGTTATATCCACTTATACTTTAATATACTATTATAAAAGGGCAAATCAATTTCCCCATAATATGTGAATGAAACCAATATTTATATTATATATAAAAATTAAGTCCGAACCTGTTTTTAAACAGTCGTATATAGTCGGGAATATAATATAAGATTGCACTAATGATTTCTTTTTCTTGGTTAATTATTATGACAAGGCTAAGTAAGAGCATAAAACCGAAGAAAACCTGCGGCTTAGGTACTTATCTGTTGAATAAAACATCACGTTTACTGTGGCCTGCAAATCTTACATAACATCGTTTTTCTTTAAACGTTCTTCCTGATTTCTATTGCTTCTTGAAACTAGTCGAAAAGAAGACAATAGGAGGAAGGAAACGTAAATATAGTCGATATATTTAAGATTTTTTCTTGTTTTAATGTAATAGTAGTGATGGCGGTCTGGAGAAAAATAGCACAATGGCTATGTTAAATTACTAACAGTGCAAACCTTTGTATATTGAGGTAATTATATCAACAATATGGTATATTACCATAGTGCAACTGTGTTCTTTCCGAAATCCAGATTGAACTGAGGACAATTTTAGAAAGAACCGGTAAAATGCTTACATATCCCTTAGATCTTGTAAGTCAATAACGTTGTTTTTTTCGGTAAAACTTTCACTATAGCTTTGTTCCAAACGGTAGAAAAAAACAAAAGTTTCTAATTGGCGTAATATGTGATATTATAAAATACCAACAAAACTTGATTAGCCTAGCATTCAACCATCACATCCCATTGCATTTGATTTTATTTTGCATATAATATTATTAAAAACAAACATATCATCAGCCTCGTTGAAATTAAATGTAGAAATGGACAATGCTACTAGATCTATAAAAATATTAAGATAATTCTTGTTAGTTCTCCATGTGTCCATGTGTTCTCCACAAGTCTTTAGAACTGCAATTATTAAATCTCTGTAAAAAATCAGTTTTTGCTTGATTCGTATAACTTCTTAATTCCTATAAAATTGTAAATCGGCATCTGAATTAGCATGATTAAATTTTCTTAGTGACTTAGTCCCAGATTAATCCTTTTTCTATATTCCCTATATCTACATAAATATAGCATCAAATTAAGCAGTATTTCATGAAAACAAAATCAAACGCCTATCAACTCGTTTGCTATTTTATTGTTTGTGAGCCACCATTTTGTCAAAAGGTCACGTGATTTGGAATTTCTAAATTGATAATATTGTCGCTAATATTAGACTGTCTAGTGATCCAAAAACAAGCCAGATGAGGCATCTTTCGTCGTTTTACTTCTCGCATTGAATGAGCTCAATAGAGTGTCGTTTCCTAATTTGTTTATTTGTTTTGGTTTTGCCTAATATAACATAACCTAATTTATGTTCACTATTGGCTGGAGGTTAGAACCACCGTAGAAAGTGGCTGAAAAACTTAATTAAGCAGTAAACCAATATTTTTTATACATGTATATGCCATATTTGTGTTTGAAAACTCGAATAAACAATCAGCTAACCTTAAAAAGGCGGATAATTTCATTAAGCAAGTGAATATTCCAATAAATTGAGTTTCGGCAAGGAGGGAGGATCATTTCTCAATTACTTTTCTTCACTTTTTGTCAAATAGAACGAACCAACAAATGAGGAACTGAGATATTGATGAAAATCGAAACCAGCTATTTTTTCGTCTACCACTTCTCCTAGATGAGAGCACACACCTAGCGTGTCTAAAAGACCGAGAATATCCTTTATTATTTCGTCAAGCAGAAAGTGAATTACATATTTGTGTCTTTCTTTTGTATTATTAATTGTCTGGCGTTCGCCGAGTTATTACTGATGGCTTGCGAACGTAGCATCGTAATTAAGAGCGTAGATTAAAAGAATTATTCGATCTTGACGTCTGGTGCCAAAGAAATAATGAAGGAGTATTATTTTTTTTAGATACATATTATGTTAATTGCGTAGTTGCTGCGTTACGAATACAATACCAGGAAATTAGGGGAATCAGTAGATAATTCGTGTGCTTTTTTTTACTAATTATACTTGCGCGACCTTTAAAGGTTTAATTTCTTAAATACAGAGTGCTAATGACAAGTTAACGATCGCTTTTTAGTTTCTGATTTTTTTTTTATTCATATATTTAACGTAGGTCTATTTCTAATTACGAGTTTTAAATACCGGCGCT